GATAACTGAAAGCCATATCTGAATTAGAGTTTGTCACGTTAGAATATTCATGAAGTAAGAGACTTTCTATAGCTTGACAAACGTTATTGAAATCTGAATCAATATTTTGGGGTGTCATGTCAGAATCTGAATTGTTTAAAATAGTTATTATTTCATTTCTGGCAATTCTATCACTTGCGGCAAGATCTCATAGGTAATGAAACATAAATGAAATATACTGAGACAATTATATTACGCATATATAAAATGAGATGGAGAGAGGAAATGTTGAGGAGAATGAGGAAAAATGTCTCACGTTCTGAACGATTTTCTATTTGTTCCTTAAGTGCTACGGTGTGGTTTTGGTCCTTAACTGCTACGATGTGGTTTTTCTTGATTGCTAAAGATGTCTTCAAGATATTCGTTCCTGAAGGATCCCGTTTGAAGCTGTTTCAGAACTCTAGTAATCACTTTCCAAGGGTTTCGTACGATGATTCTGTTTTCCTGAAGACTAGCTTTCTCTCGGATTATCCACAAGTCCTTTCTTGATATGAGAATAATCCTCGCCGACTGCCCCAGTTATGTTTTGAATCTCGCAGTCGTTTGGTCCGGAGTTTCAAACATTTGATTAATAATGAAAAATCTCTTATAACTCGCTGAATTACAAAGTCACACAGAAATAAACGAATCCACTTTGATAAGTTCCGTATCAACTATCGATCTTCATTTCCGAAAGCTTATAGTAACAACAATATCAGAGAATAGTTCCGCAGCAATTAATACCTCATCTCATTCTTAACTATTTATATGAATTATAAAATGAAGAGTCAGCAAAATGATTATTTATAATGGAGTTTGGTGAGAAACGATAATTCTACACGGTGGGTTCATCGGCAGAAACACTGTCTGCGCTATTTCTTCGGTGAGCACTCTAGACACGGCCCAGCCACGTTAGAATAATACAACCAGTAGACTATTTTACCACATGATCCGCCTGAGTTGCCGGGGACCTTCAACGCGTTCTATGCTGTAGTATCGAAGCATTTGACGGTACCATGGACATCGGAAATTGATATTGTGTTTAGTTTATTCGCTGTTGTTATTATTTTCAGTTTTTGTAGTTGGTTATAAGTAATTTAACACGACATATTCTAGAATAACCTTTAATTACGTTTTTATATGAGCGCGCACGCCTATGGTAAAAGAACGAAATTGACTCTCCACTTCGTTTCGAGGTCACCGAGAACTTTGTGAATTTATGAATGAAAGTAGTGGGAGTGAACTTACTGGTTGGAAATGGAAATGTATGGTCCGGCTTCACGCATATGTATGTAACTCACCGGCGATGCCAAACAACGAATTGTTGAAAAACATATCGATCAGCTGGTGGAAACATTTTCAGAGACAACAAGTACGATGCAAGAATGTGAAAATCAATGGCAAGTCGATATTACTTATGACAACGTGTATTCCAAATGCATCATAGGATATGAATACGTTTTAGTAGCTATATAAAGGTACTTCAAGTACACAGTGTGCGAACTACTCAGGAATAAAACTGGTTCTACAGTGGCAACAGGTTCTGAAATGTTACTCAAAGAAGTGCAATACTCTATTGTTACTGATCAGCAAAAATAATTCAACAAAGAGCACTTCGAACTATTGACATAAAACTTTTTAAAGAAGATTCAATGCGATACCAATGCAAGTAGATATAACAGAAAATTGTTCATTTCACAACTGGAAAGAAATCAATCGATGAAACTACCAATACTGCACCAAAAGTACGAATATTTGCATCCTATTGTATTCGAGAGTACTATTTTAGATCTTTATAGCGTCATACTACAATATGAACTCCAATAAAAAAAAACAAACTCAAAAAAATCATACAAACCTTTTATTGATTATCATAAACTGAGGAAAATGCTTGCGGAAATAACCTGGTTAAATGTCTATGAAAGTAATAACGTAGATGAAGCAACTGAGTTCTTCATTACAGTCCTTAAACAGTGTATAACAAAATGCAGTCGGAAAAAAGAAATACAAAGAAAACACATTGAAAGAAATCCTTGGATTTCAGATGGGTTAGTAATCTCAATAATTGAATTCGCTTTATTCCTAACCAGCGGAGGAGTACGAAGTGATTCTATTCATCAAAGAATTGAAATCAAACAAGGCACCAGAAATGGATGAGATTGGATCGAGCACACTCAAAGAATGTGTTTATAGTCTTGTTAAACCCCTAACATACGTAATAAACAAATCTCTCGAGAGGGGAATATTTCCTGAATCCCTAAAAGTTGCTGACTTTGATGGATTGTCTATGGTAAGACCAGTAATTTATATATCCTCCAGAACTAATAGGTTTTCTGTACCGGTCAACAAGTACGGTGTTGTTGGTAGAACGAGTTTTGTATCCAGAAAGAGGACACTACATTCAGCGTCTTCTTTTTTGATGGTGAACTGTATATATTGGTTAAAACTGTTGAAGATTTCAACAATTCCATCGACTCATGTTGAAGGAAGGGAGAAGATAATATCGTCTACATATTTTTTGGAGGAAAAAGATTTGGAAAGACAGTATCTAGCAGGTCATCCATTACATAGTTAGCCAGAATTGGGCTTATTTTTGCTCCCATTGGAGTTCTAGAAATTTGTTTGTATATTTTGTTGTCAAAGGAGAAATATGTATTATCAAAAAGAAATGATAAGAAACGTTTGAAATAATTTTCATGTATATTGCAATAATTTTGCAATATACATGAATATACATGAAAATGATTTCAAACGTTTCTTATCCTTTCTTTTTGATATTACATATTTCTCCTTCAATAACAAAAAATACAAACATAGTTTTGGAACTCCAATGGGAGCAAAAATAAGCCCAATTTTGGCTAATCATGTAATGGATGACCTGCTAGATACTCTCCTAGGTGTCCTCTTTTTTTCCAAAAAATATGTTGACGACATTATCTTATCCCTTTCTTCAACAGGAGTCGATGGAACTGTTGAAACCTTCAACAGCTTTGACCAATATATACAGTTTACCATCGAAAAAGAAGACGCTGAATGTATTGTCCCGGTTTTGGATACAAAACTCAACAAAACCGTACTTGTTGACTGTTACAGAAAACCTATCAGTTCTGGTAGATATATGAATTGCTGGTCTTACCATAGACAATCCATCGAAGTCAATTTGGTCAAACAAATGAAACAACGCGTCATGAACATTTCTGACTCTCCCTTCCACAAAAAAAAATTAAATATCCTTCCTTATCTCTTTTTGCAAAATTCATATCCACTAGACTAGACATGAATTTGGAACTAAATATGAATCTCATTTGTTTGAAGTAGATTGACAATGTTTCGTGGTGCATTTCATCAGTTCGGACTTTCATTGTCTAATATGATATAAATTGATTTGAAATCTCTGAAAGAATCTGTAAAAAATAAAAAATAAATCAGCTGAAAAATAACAATTATATCAAACAAAAGAACTGAAATGAAAATCGAACAACAACCAGAAATTCAAAAAATTGAACTATTAACATGAGATGGAAATAAAAAAAATTATTAACAAGAAATGAAAAATTGAAAATTAAATGAGTTCAAGCCAGGTTACTTAAAGACGTTTCTATTGTTAGTGTCCACACAATCGTCTTCGGGTGACAACTGGACTTATTTCTTCGAGATCTGACTCAGGCACCATTTTCCCATATTTATTGACTTTATAATTGGTTGTAGTACTCAAGTGATTACAATCATTCATCTTATGACGTAATAGTAATTGCTCATGAGAAAAATATGATGAACATCCATCACAAATATTTTTTGTGTTCATGGGCTGACAGTTGACTTGAAACTTCACGTTCCTGGAATTCAGTAGGTTGAGCGATAATGTTATCTCGAAATCCATCAAATAAGGAATTAAAATCAGTAGATTGGTCAACTGTTCTATTTTGAGAGTTAAATGAATTGGTATCCTCCAGGTCTTGCGTTTGGAGAATATAACTCACAAATACTTTTATATTCATTTCGATGATTTTGTGAATCCTGATGGCTGATTCCAGTAATTCAATAACTTTCTGCCTGATTTCATTAAAGAATAACATGTAATTGGTGAAAACAATTAAACTCTGAACCCTGTATTTGTAGCAATCCAACACTTGAAGGCACTCTTTATAATTTGAACATCATCACTCAATCGTACACATGCATTATTCTTATGTTGTAGGCTTTTTTTGAGAATTCACTTAAGTAAATGGAATCGTCACATTACAACAATTACATGTGAACATAGGTATTGCAGCGACATCTAATCTCATTCGTTTCACTGATGGACCTCCTTGGCCACTCTGGAGCTGTTTCGCTAACATGTGATATATTTCTCAAATAAAAGGTGTGAAGATCAAATCGTTAAGGTGTAGTTTATGAAATTACGATAGATCTTCATCAAGTAATGGCCGAATCAATCAAAAAATTATTATGACGTCACACTCATACACACACACACACACACACTATTTTCAACTATTCAACTATTTTTGCACCAGACATATCGTTCAAGGTCAAAACTAATTATGCATCAGATATATCATTCAAGGTAACCCTAATTACACCACTTGTCATTATTAAGTCATTATTGACGTCATAGTGGTGGGGAAAGGCTTAGAACCAACTAAAAGCTCCCACTGTATCTACCTATTATTCATGCGATATTTTTGTCAACCAACCATACATTTTTTTTTCTGAATAATTTGAAGAAATGGAGACATTAGTGAATATAATTCAAGCAGTATAATTCAAGCGGTATATAATTCAATGCGGTATCTAATATATGTAGATACCACAGATGTCTTTATAGTATATGACTTGGGCTGTGAACTAGGTTCTGTATGGACTAGTACATTTTAAAGAAAGTGTGTATAGTTCAAGGTTACAGAGAATATATAAACAAACGATTAATAATATCAAATATGCGTGATGGAGAATTTGTAAAGAAATTAACATATACTCACCTTATATACATCGTAAGCTCCAATAATTGAATCAAAACACGTGTACAGATCATTGAGTAAATCGACGACTTGGAGAGGAGTGCTATTTGCCGACAGTGATGTGAATCCAACTATATCGCTGAAATAAATAGTAACGGAATCGAAAGTCTCAGCTACAACAGATTCCCCGGATATTAATTGCTGGGCTACGCTCTCAGGGAGAAGTTGATAGAGAAGTTTCTCACATTTCTGTTTCTCTTCATGATATGCAGCAGTACGTATTTCTACTTGCTCTTCTAAGTTATTAGCATACTGTGCCATACGAGCAAGTAAATCATCCATGAGATTACCATTGCATTCTCTAGAAGAAAAATGAAGGATTATTTTACACTTTTCTCATTTCGATAGAAGAACGTAGACAGACATATATTTCAAATGATTTCAGGTTTGAAGCATTGAGTAATGATGTCGTTAGGAAATTTCAATTGACATTCATTCACGGAGATTGATTGACCAATTCATTATTATTTGTTGAGAAAATTTCGTATTAAAAATTTGCATCCTAAAAACGTCCTGTAAGTTTTCAGATCATCCTCATAGTTCCCATCGAAATTAAATTATTTTCAACAACACATCGAAAGAATCATAATGTACTGATGATAAAGTCATTCCATGGTTCATGAATTTCAACAGCAATGATGATCAATGAAATAATCCAGGAGTGGAATCATGATACTGTTATGGTTTGTTATAACAATTGAATGTCATAACTTTAACATATGAACTGAATTTTTCTACTTCGAACAAAACAGCCCATGCATTCTTTCACCGTAACAGTATATTTCTTTTCTGAAGACGTTAATATTCTGCTTGCGTATTAATAACAATCTTTTGATTTTCTGCGTTCGCCAACGTGAGTTTACAGCCAGTTTCAACTTTTGACGCATATATATGAATCGTGAACATTCTAGAGAAATAAAAAGAAGTCAAAATAGAAGCTGTAACCAGAGATATTTCAAACTTGGAGTATTCGTTCCATTCCAATTTTGAGCCTGTCGTTAGCCCTTCACTGAAGATGTGAGAGGAGCAGTCAAATTCGAAGGAAAAGGAACAAACCGTCTGTACCAACTACACATGCCTGAAAATTTTCTGACTTTTGGTGCGAGGGTGGTTTGGCATTGCTAAAACTTTCGGGGGTTTGTTCTCAAACCTTTCAAATCAATTAGAACGCCCAAGTATCTGAGAGATGGTTAACAAAACTCTTATGTCTCGATATTTATAGTAAAATTCACAGATTTCTGTCGTAGATGGACTTCAGACAAAATGTTCATGTGGTCTTCAATTATTGGGGTAGCTACGATAATGTAATCCATGTATACGAACACGCAAGGTTCCAATTTATATCTCAAGATCTTTTTCATCAACCTTTTTTGCGCAGCATTACTAAGCTCAAATGGCAAAACTGTGAAGGAACAACAAACGCAGTTTTTCACACGATTTTTTTTTCGGGTGGTATTCGCCAGAAATCGGCCTTCAAATTGATGCTACTGAGGTATATGACCCCGGTGAGCTTACTTATACATGTAGCAGCAGATAAGCATCTTTATTGGTTAGACTGTTCAACTTCCTGCCATCGAAGCAAACTCGTTTGTTTCTTCACTAAAGAAAATAAGGATGCCCAAATAATATTCTCGAACAGTGCTCAAGCCTAGCATTTTGCCTAGTTATTCACACTGTTCAACATATGCGGGAAAATTTTATAATGACGCTGTTACACTGCTTCAAAATCGGCTGTATCGATCTTATGGTAGATCAGATTTGTTTTTCCCGGAAGCGTAACAGACGCTCAAGATATTTGTTGAAATCTGTTGACAACCTCTTTCAATACAGACTGTTGTTGTTCATCAAGCGTGACACGTGACAGAATAACATCAGCTGTGTGTACTTCATACACATCTAGACTGCCAAGCATACAATTGAGTTGTTCACTATTTTCTCCAACGAGATAAGAATTTCTGGCATAATCGATTCCAGTACCAAACATTGTACAAAAATCGCTACCTGAAATAAAACTATGGAAGAGCGATGGCACTACGAAAATTTTCAATATTTTCAATATATGCCCTACCTGTACAGGAAAAACTACGGAACTGGTAATTTTCAGAGAAGTGCCATCAGCGGTTCTTGATCCTTTTTTAAATATCAGCATTCAATCCTTTATACTAATTCAACAAGGGATTTCATGCTGTCATCGATCTTTGACCGTTCCGTTTCCGATGAAAAGTTTTCCAAACTATGAGCAATACCAGGTCTAGAAGTATCTTCTTTGAATGTTTGCCTAAGAAACTTTCTTTTCTGATTCATGTCAGCCGAGTCCGTAGATACTCCTCTCAATTCTAATTCATAGTTTAGCTCGTGTGTTCTCAGATTGTTAGAATCAACATAGCCCACAAAATCTTCATTTCAGTTTCAAAAGGCAGAACGTCACCATTTATATGGATATGAAGACCATCATTAGTAATATCTTTTTCATCCGGAGATTGAGAATGCCGACTTTTTGGAGTTCAGTTTCAATGTGAGAGCTGATGAAATATCAAAGATGGTCCGTGTATCACGATTAATAAAATTTTTAGTGGAATCAATACCAGGAAACTGAAAAGAGAAGTGAAATTGAATATCATCTGCGTAATGATGAATATTGCATTTTTCTACCAACTGGTGTGAGTCACAAATATACAAACTGTGCTCCGGTTGTGTACTTTCTGAGATCTTTATAACTATTCCAAACAGTATAAGAATGAGTTTGCTTAAAATTTTTGAAAACGCAGTCTTTGAAAGTAATCATTTCATCAATAGTGTAAGTGCTCATGGGGCTGGTGGCTTGCTGACTTTCTTGGTGAGGACGGGGGCGTGTCTGCCATTTCATCATGCTGATGAAAGTCGCCCCAATTGATATTATGGATGATATTACGAATTAGTTCGTGATAGAGGTTTCGAAAAACACGTGAGAAAATCATTTTGACTTTCAAAGGTATATGGATGGTGGTGATCTTGCAAGATGGTCTGATATGGTCTGATATTTCACCTGTGTCAAGGAATTTAATAATAATAATAATATTTATTTCACTTGTTGAACAGTATGAAATCATTGCAATAAACATTTACATACAGTAACAAGGAAGACGTCCATGTATAACTAAAAACAAATATATATAGAAATATAAAACAACAAAACATGACAAATACTACACTGTACATATAAAGGTAATTAACAATTTTTTTTACCGAGAGTAACTACTAAAACTCGTCAACGGTGTAGCAGTTTCTTTCAATGAGATATTTTTCCAATTGTCTTTTAAATATGCAGATATTCATTGGGTCCTTAATAGAAACATCTAGCTTGTTATATAATTTGGGCTCAAGGTATAGGTGACTCTTCTGATAGAGGGAAGTTCGGTGAGGATTCGCTATCAACAACCCCCTAGCTCTAGTTGCGTATGGGTGGTCTTGCTGGTTTGCAAATTTTTCTTTATTATTATAAACGAAGAGACACATCTCGTATATATACAGACCAGCAACTGTGAGTATTTTCAGCTCTTTGAATGAGCTTCTACATGAGTGTCGCCATCCCAAACTAGCAATTATTCTGATCGCGCGCTTTTGTAAAATAAATACTCGTTCAGCAGAGGAGCTCATACCCCAATTCAAGATCCCATAGCGCAAGTGACAGTCAATAGTTGTATAATACAGATTTAGGAGAACCTCTCTTCCACAATGATTCGACATAAATCTCAGTGCATAACAGTTCTTTCGTAGTTTATCACAGTGAATCTATATGAGGACCCCAATTGAGCTTATGATCTAGAGTTAGCCCTAGCATTTTTGTTTCTGGTTTGGATGTCACCTGTAGTTGGCTATCTTCATATATTTTAAGAGTTTCTGTGGTGTTCTGCAATGAGGATTTGACTAATGCTGTTTTGCTGATATTTAGTGCTAAATGATTTTTTTCAGCCCATTCCATTATTTTCTCATATACGGATTCTGTTGTTTATGCAAGTGCTATTGTATTCCAATCAGTTACCAGAACATTTGTATCATCTGCATATGCAACTATATGTACCTATGAAAGACTATTTAGGTTTTTCATCGACCTTTTTTGGGTATTTGTTACCTTCCACAATCTGAAAAATATAAAAATTAGAATGGATAACTTTATACAATTGTAGAAGGGCAAACTTTTAAGTTTACCTCGATAAGATACTGCGTAAAAATCAAAGTATTTTTCATAAAGAAAAATTTTCTATTTATCAGTAACTTGTCGTATTTAACAATTTTGCCTATCAAAAAAATATTAAGAAATAATACTTATCTTTTACGTTTCGGAGGCCAAAATCTGTCTCCGTCTTCAGAAATGGATAAGAAATTTGAATATATTCGCAGTTATTCCTTTTTTGATATCTTATTTCTTTACTTCTTCGACAGATGTCAAAGAAGTTTTTTATATTGCGAATTTTATTGTCGGCTTCCGCTCGTTGATATAACTCAAAAAAACATTCAGGTCATCATGGTTTCTATTCCAAACAGCAAAGATATCGTCAACGTATCTTCACCAAACTTTGGCACCATTCTGATAAGTTTCAACAAAAGATTCTTCAAAATACTCCATATATATGTTACTCAAGATGGGAGATAAAGGGGAACCCATAGCCATGCCAAATTCTTGTTGATAGAAATCATCTCCATATTGAAAATAGGTTTTGTCTATACTATTTAGGTATTGTATCAAGTCGTTCGCATAAATAAGAAAAAGCAGTGGTCCGAGTATAGACCCCTGTGGAACTCCTTGCTTGCAGGCCAAGGACTGACTGTGAACACCTTGAATTATCACTGTTTGTGACCTGTTCTCTAGATACGACCTCAACCAATCTTGGCAACTCCACGAACCCCATAGCGATACATTTTCTGGATTAGTACATAGTGATCCACACAGTCAAATGCTCTAGAAAAATCGATGAACAAACCACAAAGTTCTAGTTTGTTATTCAAGGCTGTTACTATGTGTTCTATGAAATCATACAAATCTGTTTCCGTGCTTTTATTTTGCATGAAACCATGCTGGTTTGTAGAAAGTAATTCATTTTTGAGGAGAAACGATAGTAACTGATTTTCAATATTCATTCCGTATAGCTTGGATATACTAGAGAGAAGACTTACACCTCTATAGTTCTCATAGCTATTCGAGTCTCCTTTTTTAAAGATTGGGGAAACGATTACAACTTTTAATTTCTCAGGGAACATTTCTCGTTCTATAGACAGATTTATCAGATAGGTCAGAGGGTAGACTATTTCTTCCACGCATTTTTTTAGAAGATTATTTGAGACCTGATCATATCCGCGAGCATTGGAATTCTTTAATTCATTTATTAAATCAAAAACCTCATATTCCTTGTTTGGGTGAGAAATACGGAGTTTGGGCAGAGTGTGACTATATTTTCCATAAAATTTAGGTCATATTCTCTTTGTTCTTCCGCTTTCGTGAAATGAGCATTTAAATTGTTCAGAAGAATCCTATTGATGGTACTCTCTGGTCCAGATACTCATAGATAGTATTTGTTAGCACATGAATTGCAACCTGTAAATTTATGTTCCCCAAAGCCGTACATGTGGACCAGACAGGATGTGGTATTTGTTGAAAAATTCATTCAGTCTATGTTTCATGATTTTTTCTATTATTCCACTCAAAGATTTTATGAGCGAGATCGGTTTATAATTTGTAATATTTTGTCCATCTACTCCTTTATGTACGGAAATGAAAACTGATAGCCTGGAAGCATCAGGAAAATGACCTATTTCATAAGATGTATTCATTATATCACCTAGAGGAGAACTTATATACTTCGAAATAACTTTTAAAGTTTCCGCTTTTATGCCATCGTATCCTGAAGATTTTTTCATGTGAGGGTGAATTGCTTTGTTACCTAACGCGTCACAGCGCCAGTCGATCTGGCTTCCCTTTGTCTCCCCCATATGTCAGCGGAAAGCACGTTTCTTCTCTCTCGTCGAACAAATTCTCAGTTTTAAGTGTGCGATACACATATACTATTGACAGTATTATAAAAATCTAACGCAAGCACGTAATATTATTTCATTTTGTGAAACTTTGCTCAAAAATTATGATACAAATTGAGTGAATGTACATTATTAGTATTATTGGTATCATATTAGAATCACATATTATGTGATTCAATAAACATAATCACGCCATCGTTTCAATTTAGACTACTCTGAATATAGGGAGTGGTGTAACCCCCAATATCATATACCGATGCATCAGGAATTCACCAAGTTTTTTTTTGAAGCAAAGTAGTCAAAAAATGTATTGATTTCCTTAATGAAGATTTCAAATTCATATATGTTTTTCCAACACCACAGATATTATTATTAAATATTCTGAATTTTCTCCTCTTGGAGGCTATTCAAAGCGTCGGCAATGTTTCTATTCGAAAATCTCTTACATAAGAATCCATTCCAAAAGTTTACTGTATGATCTTCTGAATATGATTATATAGTTCATCAGATCACATAAAAGAAAAAAACAAAATATTGAATATGAATTGATGGTTTCACTACTCACAAGTACATTAGCGTTGCGATGTAGACCTTGTTTTTACATGTTTCTCTGCTGGTAGTGTTTGTTGGTGGTCTATATGCTTTAACTTGTTTTTTCACAGTTTTCGTTGAAACAGGAGTACTCTCTTTCTATTGTTTTTTTAAACGTTGTTTGTCTTCTTTCTCTGACTCATCGGCCGGTCGAATAAGTTCCTGTGTATATTTTCTAACTCCAGGAGTTCTTCTACAGTATATTATTTAATATTATTCTTCAGGTAGATACCTTATCTTACAGATATTTCTTACCTTGATTAGCTCAGTCGGATTTCTATAAGCATGCAGCGCCCTCTCTCTCTACAGGTAGAGTTCTTGGAAAAGTCTTGTTTGTTTTCAAAAATATTGTGCCAAAT